TGTCAAGAAATATTATGCTTGAAGAAAAAATGAAATGAAAGATGAAAAAATGAAATGAAAGAAAAAGAAAAAAAAAAGGTCAAGATGAAAACCCGCAAAGGGCATCTTGCAACCAAAGGAAGGATTTGAGTTGAAAACCTGAAAGGGTGGATCAAATGCATGTTGATATTAGGAATCTGGCAATTGAACCCTCTTAAGATTTTGATAGTTTGGGAGGAACTTCACATCTACAAGCATTCTGACAACGTTTGAGATCTTCCAGACAAAAGCTTACATCAGTACTCTAAATTATGTCAATTTGATTAATTTAGAAATACTTATGCTAATAATTTGTTGAGTCATTTGAATTTTTATCATTCCTATAAATACAATTCTATCTATTTATTAATAAATTCTAAAGTTTATTTCCTCTAAATTTAATTTATTTGAGATTCAATTTATTTTTGAAAATTCAATTTAATGGATTAACATAATTTTGAAATAAGTTAAAGATTTCTGAATATCACTTTATGCTAATACTTTTAAAGGCATGGAATACAAAGTAAGTCTTATCAACGTTTGCAATCATTGTTAAAAAGCAAACAAATTATTACCATCATAGAGTTATTTGGAAGCGGAACAAGAAGAAATATGTTCTCAATTGACAGATTATGAATATAGCCTTTTTCCATACAGCAATACAAAAATGCTTCGAATCTACAAATTCTGGCTCTACATCATATAAGTACTGTGATGTTTTGGTCCAAATACCAACTGAAGCAACCACCACGTTATCATAGTATAAATAAGGAGACTCAATAGCATCTTCTGGAAGTGTTCTTTGAGTTATCTGATATGATTCAGTAAGAACTCCAAAACCAATCATTGAATTAGGAAGATGAACTGCAAGATTATCTTCATCAAAAAGCTTCTTTCCAAACTTCCTCTATTTCTTCCTTTTCAAAAATCATAGCCCAAGTTTTGCCTTTTCTTGTAATTGGGATCATTGTATAATGGCTTCCTATATTTTACTGGAAGAAGTGTGTCAGCAGCCTTAGCCATTTGAGCAGCACATATAAAATCTGTCAACTCTGCAATTGATGAATCAGGATCATATCTTTATGATTATTGAAGACGTAGCATTTGAGTATCCCATTTTCGTCAAGTATAACAGTTTACTCTCCTCATCAGAATCAGAATTTAGGATTTTCTCGGTATCAAAAGAACTATCAATATCTGTGAAATCATCTTGAAATATCACTTCATGATTAGATAAGTAGTTATCAAAATCAACATGTTGCATGAGTGCGAGCTTTTCAAGAGCCTATACTATTGAGTTTTATTCTCAAGTGGTTTGGTGACATCATATAAAAATTCAGGCATATCTACATCTACGCTCTTCAAAGATGATAGATTCTCCATTCGAAGAGGAAAGATTTATTGGATTTCTACACAATTGAAGAAAGACCGAGTTCACCAATTTGAAATCAAATAAAAATGAACTTAATATTCATGCATCATATTTAGGCATTTGCAAAAATATGTGCATTTTCATTCATTTTATACATGTTAAAGGTTAACAGGAATTTCAAAGATTTTAGCAAAGATTCAAATCCATCACTCGATGGATCAGCTTTTCCAGAGAAAGTTCATAATGAGAAGAACTCATCTGAAGAAGGAAGAAGAAGTTCATAATGAGAAGAGTTTGTTCAACCTTTTGCTCAAATCCATCACTTGATGGATCAGCTTTTCCAGAGAAAGTTCATAATGAGAAGAACTCATCTGAAGAAGGAAGAAGAAGTTCATAATGAGAAGAGCTTGTTCAACCTTTTGCTCAATCCATCACTTGATGGATCACATTTCAAGAGAAAGTTTATAATGAGAAGAACTCATCTGAAGAAGGAAGAAGAAGTTCATAATAAGAAGAATTTGTTCAACCTTTTGTTTGAATTCATCATTTGATGGATCAACATTGCCAGAAGTCTTCATAATGAGAATAACTCATCTGAAGAAGGAATAGGAAGTTCATAATGAGAAGAACTCATCTGAAAAGAATTTGTTCAACTCTTCTGCTAGATTACTTCACAGAAGGAGATGAACTGTCATCCCCAGTGGAAAAGTTCATAATGAGAAGAACTAATCCCAAAGAAGAAGAACTTGTTCAACATTTCCATCATAATCAAGTGAAGTCAAATGAAAAAAAAAACACTTATTATTTTTTCGTCTTTGCCCTATTCTCGTTAACACAAGAATGAACAAAGAGGGGCAGCTGAAGACACTAGTTTTTTTTCATTTGTTTTATTTATTATTATTATTTTGTTTTAATATTATTATTATATTATATTATTATTAAATAAATAATTTATTATTATTACAGGCCCAATTACAAATCAACTCAGCCCAGTTTACATGCCCAAGCCCAATCAGATACAAGCCCACAAGAAACCCTAAACCCAATTTAGGTTTGTATCATCTAACCCTAGCCGCCTCAGCATCACAGCCGTTGGATCTCTCAGATCCAACGGCCCACACGCATCCAGAACAAATCCTAGGGTGATGATACCCTAGGGACCACGCGCCGCCGTCCGCCAACCTCTGCTACCACGCTGCCACGACGCCAACCGAAAGATCCAGAAGGCCTAGCCATAGCCGCACACGTCGCCCTCAACAGTGAGTCACCACTGGAAGTTCGGTGACTCACCAAGCTTCAATCTTTTACCCAGTCCGAAGAAGATACCGGCGAGGCTTATAAAAACCGACCACCTGCAAACAAGAGAATAAACGGGGAGACAAAAAAAAAGCCAGAGAATACAGCAACCAAACCACAAAAAAATCGAAACAAAAATTGAGAGAAGCCTTACCGAAGAAGCTGCGACGCCATCGGAGTTCATAGGCCGCCGTACAAGCAAATACCGAAGGTATTTTTTTTGTAGATCTATGTAAATATGAGATGTTTTGTGGGAAAGGGGGGTCGGATTCGATTTTAGATCATCCCGATCTATGTTTTGAGAGATTTTAGAATTTTCCTGCCACCGATAACGGTGGCCGGCGGTGAGGAAAGTGACGGCTGCCGCTGCCGGCCGGTGACCGGCTTCCCTCCGGTGAGGGAAGCTAGAGAGAGGCGAGAGAGTTTAAAACTCTCTCAGGAAGAGAGAGAAGGAAAGAGAAGAGAAATCAATTTTTGGCCTTAAGGCCGTCTGATTTGGGGCTTAAATACCCCTCCCGAACGACGTCGTTTTGGGGAGGGTCTGTTTATAATTTATTAAAAGTTAAACCCCGTACGCAGTCCAGTAATTTTGTAATTTTATATTATAGTCACTGAAATCAAATTATGAACTTTTTAATTTGATCTCTTAATGTTATTTCTTTATAATTTAGTCACTGACATAAATATTTTAGACAAATAACCAATTTAGTCCTTTAATTCTAATTAATTTTATTTTAATCCCGAATACATGTTTTAAACTTATTTTAATTTGATATACGAATTTGATATAATTTTTAATCTAGTCACTAAATTAATAAAAGGTAGAATAACATATTTAGCCACTGAAAAATTAATAATTATGATTTATGTATTTAAATCTATTAAGTTGTAATTTAGTCACTAATTTCAATTTTTATTTATTTTATATATTTATTTTAAAAATATAGTTTTAATTTTGTTCATTGTTTAGTTATATGTTAATTTTATATGTTTACTTTTAATTATTATTACTATTATTATTATAATTTAACCATAAATATATATTTATTATATTTATTTTATTTATTAAAATCTTATTTAATTACTTTTAACTTATTTTAATCATGTTTTAATATTTATTTATTTTTCAATATTAAGAAATGGCAGTCTTAAAACAACTGGATGTCCATTTTTCTGAAAATAAATATCCTATTTTATAAATTATATATTAATTGTTTTAATTATTTATTTATTTATTTATTTTTTTTAATATTGAAGAAAAGAGCTGTCTTAAGGTACCTAGAAGTCATTTTCTGATATTTCTAAATAAATAAATATTTTATTTATAAATATATATAAATTAATATATATTTTTCATAATTATAATTTTAAAATAATAGGATTATAAATTAAATATATTTTGAATTTTTAATTTATAATAATAGAGACAATTTATATTAAAAAGTACCAATTTTGGGCGTTATAGGGGTGCTAATCCTTCCCTAAACGTAACCGATCACGAATCTCTTTTTATTATTAAAAAGAATGAATTTTTGGTTAAAACGCAGATCAGTTTATCTTTTAATCGATGTTTTCTTAAAAACTCTTTTAAAAGATGATTTTTAGGTAGTCGACCTACCTGACCCAAAAGGCCGATGGCGACTCCCAAAATATTTTTAAAAAAAAAATCATTAATTTATTCACATCACTTTTCCCGCCAAATAAAAATTTGTGCCCGGACGAAAACCGGTTACGACATAACTTACACCGAAGGGTGCATTTAATTTTCAACTGTCTAAACAATAATATTGTTAATTTCTTTAAACTCACCATTTCTCTTTAAATATACAATTTATAAAAATTCTCATTTTATTCCTTGTATTTTTACTTTTTTATTTTCTGGTCTTAAAATTACAAAATTTAAGAGTAAAATTGTTTACAACTGCCGATGATTTTACCAAAATCATCTTCAATTGTCGATAATTTTTATTATACCGCATCATTCATCCTATTTTCCTAAATAACTTTTTATAATCCCTGTTTTCTTTTTTTCCCAACATGTTTAATTCACTAATTTAACCTGCCGACACTGTTCTTCTTTTTGGATCATTGACATAAAATTGCCGCGTGGGTTCCCCATGGTTTGAATGAGTCGTATGTGTACTTTTCAAATGGTAAAGGTCCCATCCATCCCCAATTTTGGTTTGCAACTTTGAACTAAGCAATACCAGTGAAAAGTAAGGACAGTCCGGTCCTAATCACCTTATCATTAAAATCTGTGCATCACAAATGTCCAGTTTACTTGACTTGGTTCAGTTCTACCAAAGGACTGAACCATCTTCATCAACCACCCACTCTGTTCTTTTCGCCATCTTAATTGCTCTTCATTCAACCATTCCAAGCATAACAAAAAATTATCTTTTCTAATCGTTAACAAAGGGGATATTTGCAGTTCAGTTCAATGCTCCATTTTACTTTCTACCTCCATCTCCTCTTCTCTGTCACTTTAGCTGGCAACTACTCAGTACCATATAACGCAACAGATTATATTCTCCTCAACTGTGGTGCATCATCGTCTTCGTCAAATACAGTTTCAGAAGATGGCCGCAAATGGGTCACTGATGACCGGTCCAAATTCGCTACTTCTAATTCTGAGAGTGCTTCAATGGCGTCCACAGCCTCCAGGCAAGATCATTCTGTTTCTCAAGTTCCTTGCATGACTGCTAGAGTTTTTCATGGTGAATTCACTTATAGCTTTCCCGTATCACCTGGCCACAAATTTCTTCGTTTCTATTTCTACCCGGCTCAATACTCTGATTTTGATGGAACCACTTCTTTCTTCTCTGTTACCGCCAATAATCACCTTCTCCTCAGCAATTTCAGTGCCTATTTAACTCTTTCTGGTGAAGATGATCAACAAGCCTCGCTGATCAAAGAGTTTATGATTCCATGTTTGGAAACCGAGAAGCTGAATGTCACCTTTTTGCCATCGCTCAACTCCTCGGCCTTTGTAAACGGTATCGAAGTCGTTTCGATGCCGAAGAACATGTATATAAACCACCAAGAAAACTCTCTAATTCCTGTAGGTACTAAAGGTTCCTTTGACATTCCTGATGCTACTGCTTTCGAAACTGTTTATCGTCTAAACGTTGGTGGAGCAACCGTGGCTAACGTGAATGATACTGGAATGTTTCGAACATGGTTCGACGATTCGCCTTATATCTTCGGAGCTGCAGTCGGAACAACTCCTAGTCGGTCTGACAATGTTACGATCAAATACTCCGAGGAAACCCCGGGTTATATCGCTCCGGTTATCATCTACGACACGTCAAGAACAATGAATGATGATTCACAGATCAATATGAATTATAATCTCACGTGGAGCTTCTCTGTTGACACTGGCTTCAACTACCTCCTTAGGCTCCATTTCTGCGAGACTCAAATGGAAGTAACAGAGGAAGGTCAACGTGTCTTCGACATATTCATCAACAATGAAACTGCCGAGCTTAGTGCCGATGTGATACACTGGAGTGGTGGTAACAGCATCCCGGTGTATAGGGACTATGTTTTGTTAATTCCAACTGAAGGTGAAAGCAAGCAAATTCTATGGCTGGCGTTACACCCAAGCAAAGATGTTGGCTCTAAGTATGCTAATGCAATCCTGAACGGCTTAGAGATTTTTAGACTCAACAAATCAGACGGTAGTCTTGCAGTGCCAAACCCTCAAACCGATCCGGGTCCTTCACCGATGTTACCGAGTGTCGGTAAAACGAAAAAGAAGAGTTCACTGGTTATGGTCATTACCACAGCTGTCTTTAGTAGTTTATTTGGCCTATCTTTCATCGCATGCTCTTTAATTTACAAGCTCAAAGTAAGGAGAGTGAAGGATTCAGCTGTCAGCGTACAAAAATCATCATGGGGGCAAGTACCCTGCCCATCGAACTCCACATGTGCAACCAGCGTTTCTTTACTGCCCTCCGATCTTTGTCGCCGGTTTTCAATCTTCGAGCTTAAAGAAGTGACCTTGAATTTCGACGATCAATTCATTATCGGATCAGGAGGATTCGGTACTGTCTACAAAGGTTGCATTGATGGCGGGTCAACTATGGTTGCAATAAAAAGGTTGGATTCATCATCAAGGCAAGGGATCCGGGAGTTCCAAACCGAACTCGAGTTACTCTCCAAGCTCCGCCATGTAAATCTTGTGTCGTTGATTGGTTTCTGTGATGACCATGGGGAGATGATTCTCGTCTACGAGTACATGCAACGCGGGACACTTAGAGATCATCTTTACAAGACGAAGAAGCCTCCTTTACCGTGGAAAAGGAGGTTGGAAATCTGCATTGGAGCAGCCCGTGGATTGCAGTACCTTCACGCAGGTGTGAAGCACCCAATCATTCACCGGGATATCAAATCTACCAACATACTATTGGACGAGAATTGGTTGGCCAAAGTTTCTGACTTTGGATTGTCCAGACTTGGTCCCATGTTTCAAAGCCATGTCACCACTGTAGTAAAAGGAAGTGTCGGGTACGTCGATCCTGAATATTACCGAAGACAACAATTGACCGAGAAATCCGATGTTTACTCGTTCGGTGTGGTTTTATTTGAAGTATTATGTGCTCGACAGTCCATGATTCCAGGGCTACCAAAGGACCAAGTCAGCCTGGCTCGATGGGCCAAGATTTGCCACGCTAGAGGAAACCTTGAAAGCATCATGGACCCCAACTTGATGGGTGAAATTTCACCTTTGTGCCTACAGAAATTCGGGGCCCTCGCCGAGAGTTGTGTTCGAGATGTGGGAACGGAGCGGCCGATGATGAACGATGTGGTTTGGGGTTTAGAATTTGCATTGCAAGTGCAAGAGGCAACTGAGAGGGACATGAACATTGACATGGGAGGCCATGAAGTGATCACGGAGTCGAGCCAAACCAGTCCATTGATGTCCAAAGGAGCTGGTAGAGGTACTACCACGGATGACGATAACGAAGAGTTGTTCAGTGTTTCCCGTGGGAAACTGTCGGAATCGAGGAGCACGATTAGCAGTGTGGGAAGGAGTGTTAGTCGAGGTGATGCTGATAGAATCAAATCGGAGAGTGTATTCTCCGAGTTTATGAATGATAATGGGAGATGAGAGTTGTCAAATATTGGGATACTATATATTTTCCCCGACTGTAAGTAAAAGAAGAAAAAAAAATGCTCAATAGTTTTCTCATGCCATGTAAATGAGATATTTATCTTTATATGAATATTCCCTAAGATGTACATACAAATTTATATAAACAATTATTAAGATGTTAACATTTATAGTAAAGAAGCTAACTACGATCGAAAATATATATTTAAATTAAATTAATATGATAAATTACATAAAAAATATTATGAAATAAGATATAAATTATAAAATGAACACGACATAAAAACATATATATTTTTCTTTTAGATAAATTTTAATGTTGAACACTATAAGTCGAGCACTCTTGAACAGCTCTAGCTGTGGAGTATTCTAACTCTTTTATCAATCTTATTGGGGTATTTGAGGTATTTGTAGTGAACTTAATATGGTGGTGATGTGTCAGATATGAAAAAGTATAAAAGTAAAAATAAAATAAAAAATGCAGCTCCCAACTACTATCTTAAATAAACAGCAATTGACTTTTCTGACTGAACTTTTCCATTTTTTTTTACTAGCTCTTTCTTGTCCACTTGCATTTTTACTGAGAAAAGCAAAGCGACGACCCTTGACTTGCTTCATTGGATCCCAATTATTGGTTTCTTAAGTTTCGTTCTTTTTTCATATTTGATCATCATTCTTTTGCAAAAATGATTTTCAAAAAACATAACTTGATTTAGCAGTCATCGTTTTGATTCAACTTCAATTCCGCTGCGCTGAATTGTATCCCTGGAACTGTTTTAGGTGCAAAACCAAACTAGCCTTTTGAGAAATAACATGGCTGAAGCCGTAGTGTCTTATCTTCTGGAAAGGCTCGATGGCTTAATAGTTCAAGAGGCCAATCTGTTATTGGGAGTTAACAATGAAGTCAGGAAGATGCAAGCGGAGCTAAAGTGGATGCAGGGCTTCCTCAAAGATGCAGACAAAAGACAAGACGAGGATGAAAGAGTTAAAATTTGGGTTTCAGATATAAGAGAGACTGCTTACGATGTTCAGGATGTGATCGACAATTTCATTGTCAAATTTGCGTCCAAGAAAGGAGGAAGAATCCGAAACTCGTTTCTCCACGGCGTGGAACTTCATAATCTTGCCTCGGAGATTGAGAAAATCACATCCAGAATCTCTGACTTGACCAGAAGATTGCAGACATATGGAATATCACCAAGAATAGAAGGGGATGGATTCGCATCGGAGCGGCAAAGGAAGCTCCGATGGTCATATTCCCATGTTGTGGAAGAACATATTGTTGGGTTGGAAGAAAACATAAAGGAGCTGATAGTGAAGTTAATTCACGAAGAAGAACGTTGCCGACTCGTGTCTATCTGTGGCATGGGAGGTCTTGGAAAGACTACCCTAGCAAAGACCTTATACCATCATGCAGATATCAGGAGACACTTTGAAGCTTTTGCTTGGGCTTATATTTCTCAACAATGCAGAGAACGAGAAGTTTGGGAAGGAATTCTGCTGAAGCTGATCACCCCATCGAAGGAGGAGAAGGAAGAGATTTTGAGAATGAGTCATGAAGAGTTAGCTAAGAAGCTTTACAAAGTCCAGCAAGAGAAGAAATGTTTGATTGTAATTGATGACATTTGGACCAGTGAGGCATGGGAGTCTTTACGCCCTGCTTTTCCCGTTGAAACAACTGTTGGCAGCAAGATATTGCTTACAACCCGCAATAAGAAAGTAGGTTTGGATGATGAACTGATTGGATTTCTCCATGAACCGGAGTGTTTAAATGAAGAACAGAGTTGGGAGCTATTCCAACAGAAAGCATTTCCAGGGAAAGACAAACCAGGTAGTTAAAATTCTTTTATATCTCTAGAGAACTGTATCCTCGTATTCATGCTCGAATCTGTGCTAGTCAAAGTAGCTGGACATGAGTACTTTAGCAAAACTAGAGTCCAACTAACATCAGCTTAGCCTATACCTTTCTCCTATCTAATCTAAAACAAATGTTTGGAAAATGGAATGGTGCAGTATAGGATAACTGAATTTGGATATATGGAAAAATTGGGTGTTCACAAATTTAAAACCTACTATTGCCAAAAGCAAGGCTTTTGTCTAGCCTTTCTGGGAAGCTTAACAAAACTTTAGCATGGTTCAATGGGAGTGGCTTAATTGAACTGCTTAGATCAAACAGATCATAATTGAAGCGAAGTGCATTGACTAGGTTAATACTAAACTAATAGCCATGTTATGATTCATATTCCAAGTCGAGCATTTGGCAAGATTAACATCATTCATGCATAACTTCACAAATATTTAAAGCAAATCAAGATAAAATAAATCAAGAGGCATAGGCAAAATCAACATAAATACTTATAGAAGAGCTTAGTGATAGAAGATGAAGGCAACTGATTTTAAGCTTAAAAACTTATGCCTTGCTACATACCCAAATATGTAAGTACATACTCCCTTTAGCAGTATTATAATTCAGCTACACACATATGCTTGATGTGTAAGTACATACTCCCTTTAGCTGAGTAACAGAGCGTGCACAAGAAACTTCTCTAATTGTTACTTCTTCACAAAGCATGGTGATAAGTAGAATAGATAATCTTTTCTTTCCTCTTCTGAAGAACAGGAGTAAGAACGCTTGGATTTTAGAATATTCATCCTAATGATGATTCCACCCTAAACAAATAGTCAAAGCCCAAATTAATAATTGATAAAGCACCTGGTTATATATCTATGGTTCATGCAAGAAACATAGAATTATTAATTTTCAATTTGATTTGTGTTTTCCAGGCTTTGTAGTTGACAAAGTTATGGAGAATTTAGGGAGGGAAATGATGGGAAGCTGTGCAGGTCTACCGCTGGCCATTATTGTGCTTGGAGGACTTTTGGCAACGAAAGAAACACCGAATGAGTGGGATATGGTGCATAGAAACATCAAGTCACACTTGGCAAGATCAAAAGAGCGGGGACGACAAGCTAGACTATCTGAGGTATTGGCTTTAAGTTACCATGAATTACCTTACCAACTGAAACCATGCTTTTTACATTTGAGCCAGTTCCCAGAAGATTTTGAAATTCCAACCAAGAAATTAGTTCGGCAATGGGTTGCGGAAGGATTTGTATCCTCACAAGATGAAGTGGAAGTAGATGAAAGGCATGAAACCATGGAGGAAGTTGCAAAAAGCTACTTACATGACTTGATAAATAGGTCTATGGTTCAGGTGGGAGTGAAGGGTTCGACAGGATCAATAAAAGCTTGTCGCCTACACGACCTTATGCGTGATTTATGCTTGTCGAAGGCCAAACAGGAAAATTTTATGCATATTATTGGTCCTCTTCCATCTTCCAGGAATACTAGACCAACTTCTGCAAGCAGAATTCATAGATGTGCAATCCATTTGGATCAGAATGACAATGATCCTGCTTTGCCAGAATACCAGAAAATTCCCAACCTTAGGTCATTGTTCTTTTTCCGTCCAAAAAAACATAGAATAGGTAACAAGCGCCTTTTGAAATCCGTGTTTGGTAAATTCAAATTGCTTAAAGTGTTGGATCTTGAAGGAATTAAAGGACTTGAGGAGAAGTTACCAGAAGACGTAGGGACGCTAGTTCAGTTGAGATTTTTAAGTCTGAAGAAAACACGTATAAGAGAATTACCAATATCTTTGGTCAGTCTGGTTGGCTTGCAAACTCTGAACTTGCAGACAATTGATAAAGTGTCATGGGAATCAACCGTACTAGTGCCTAATATTTTATGGAAGATGGAGCAGTTGAGACATCTATATCTTCCTAAGTGGTGTGAGAATATCGCGGATAATTTACAGTTGGCCAATCTGAGCAATTTGCAGACTCTTGTAAATTTTCCTGCTAATAAATGTGATGTTAGTGTTCTTCTCCAATTAACCAACCTCCGAAAACTAGTTCTAAATGACCCTAGACACTTTGAATCATTTGTTCAAATCTTTGAACCTCCAAATAAGACATTACCATACCTGACATCCCTGTCTTTAAAAACTGACCTCCTTTCATTTCCGGATAAGGTAGTTGATTTACGGAAACTACTATTAGGCTGTCCCCGTCTCTGCAAGCTGCATGTAGAAGGAAGAATAGAGAACTTACCCCGAGACAATGAATTCCCTTCATCTCTCACCAAGTTAACTTTATGGGGATCGAGACTTGCTGAAGACCCAATGGAAGCGCTTGGGAATCTGCCTCGCTTAAAGTACTTGAGCGGATGGGAAATTTTCATTGGAAAGAAAATGACTTGCTCTAAGAACAGTTTCCCCCAACTAAAGACTTTACTTCTTCGAGGGTTGCCCAATTTTCAGGAGTGGACTATTGAAGAAGGAGCTATGCCTACTCTTAACCGCTTGGGTATTTCTGATTGCTACAAGTTGAAGATGGTTCCAGATGGGATGAGGTTCGTCACTACCCTCCGAGAACTAGAGATTAGGTGGATGTCAAGAGCATTCAAAACTAGTATTGAGGAAGATGGGGAAGATTTCTACAAAGTCCAACATGTGCCTTCAATTGCATTTTTGAACTAAGACAAAATTATGGTAAGTGATTCTACACTATCAATGTTAATTTGTTCAACTGTTACGGTTAATTTAATTTGCATGTTTGCTGTCAATTTCATATGCAATACCTTTTCTAAGTGCACTGCTTTAGTTTTATTCCAGACTTGCAAATATTTTTCTACCAGTTACCTTACAGAAAATATTTTTTTCAGTGGAACTCCATATCAAATAGTAGGTAGTACTATTAAGGTTGCTTTTATAAGTTAGTCACATTATTGGAATTGTTCTAGAGATCTATAAATAGCTAATCATTAAATACAAAACTTTTTAACACTTGGCTCTTTGTCAAAGAAACCAGACAACTGGATTAAGAGCAGCAGAGAGAAACAATTATGTATTTCATCTGCAGCAAACTTCTACCACTGTGGCTCTTTGTTCTTCAGTTATATATTTCAAAATATAAAATTTTCAGCAGAATGAATTCTATTGTTTATTCTAGACTGAAAATTTTGTGTTTGAATGTTCAGGAGTGCAAGGAATGCTGTTATATAGATACTGATCCTTTGAAAGTGAACAGGCGTAGGATGATGCAGGGTTCTTGGGTGTTTCTTTGCAGGATTCACCATTTAAGATTATCTAGTTCTCTTGCTAATATTGTTAAGAGTTAAGACTTATCTTGATTCATGTCTGTTGGTGTTGCGTATACAATCGGATAAGGTGCTTATTTGTCATGGATGCTAGGTTGATACAGCTAAACATCATGTATGAAGCTCATACTTATGCAATTTATAAGATTCCTACGATATTTGAATTGAGAATTGAAAGCATTTAATCTTTCATCATAGTAACCATACCTGAAGTTGTCCTTTTGACAGCATGGGTGTCCCCATCCTCTCTGCAGTGAGAGGACTGTGAGCTGCTCCAAGTTTGGGATTCTAATATTTCCTGTTTTGGCTGCAGCGGCCTAACTTGTCTAAGATTAATAGAAGCCAACGTGCTTTATTTGATTATTACGAGACGGCTCAAAATGAATATTAATCCCATTCAAACAAATTATCAAACATCTGCCCTGCAAGAGGGGAGAAAAGAAAGAAAGAAATTCTTATCAGCCATGTCATGGCATTCTCCTCATGACCAAGAAATGAACAAATTTTCAAGCCAAAATCTTAATGACTATTTCAAACTTGGGATGGAGCGTTACCTTTCAACTTTCTGGAATCCTTCAAGTGCCATGATTGGGACATAGGATTTTACGTAATGAACTTTCTTTATAATTTTCTGCAGTGCGAAAAGGATTGAAATTTCAAAGTAAACGACAATTTAGTTCAGATCGCGGAAACGTGTGGACCCTTCATGACTTGTGGTTTCATTAAACTTTAAGCAATGGATGACTTGAACCTTATTAGTTTGATGGAGTGGCAAAACTTTAACTTAATACGAACCCAGAGTTTATTTATACCATTATTCTTCAAAAACAGCATCCTGTAAACCCTTTTCTTATTATCAAGTTACCATGCCATCTCTTAGTATCGACAAAAACTCTATGAGATTGATTAAAACATGATTATGTAAGGCGCTCTTTTCTTGTCATAAATTAGTAGTTAGTACAATTACAATACGATCTAAATCTGATCAATAAATATAAACTCGGATAACTAAACGATTAAACAGAAGAATTACTGTCCTCATCCCTCCATTGTTAATCCATCGTTGATGAGCCATGCCACAATGAAAGAGTGTTTGGGAATTGAATTAGCAGACCTTTTAAATTAACAGACTGCTTATTTTTATGGTTTCAGCGTCAATTGAAATGGGTGCCTCGTCATGCATATATTGACCACAAGGATTGATGGCCTCCATTTCAGCATCAGCTCTGTCTTGCAGCTCCAAGGCAAGCTCCAGTGTGACCTCTACCTCACCCATTTCTGGTCTTTCGCTTCCCTTATCATGGACACAACTAAAAGCGATCTCCAAGTACTTGTTCAAACATTCCGGAGCTATCCTCCCCTTCAATTGTGGATCAATGGCATGATAAATGGTTCCTTCAATTATAGATTCCATGGCCATAGCAAACAGATATCGCTTTTCCTCTGGTAGTGAGCTATCATATTCTGGTCTGCCAAAAAGAACTTCGAACAAAACCACCCCAAATGAAAAAACATCAGATTTTTCAGTAAGTTCCCCATGCATGGCATACTCCGGAGCCATGTACCCATGAATACCCTTAATTTTCGACTCTCTTCGAACTTTTGAAGCTTTTGACATGCAAAAGGAACCCAATTTCGATAACCCGAAATCGGTTATTTTACAAGACAATTCTTCATTCAGAAGAAGGTTTCGGCTGGTGATGTGACCATGAAATAGAGCATATTTTGCACCAGTGTGAAGGTAATGCAATCCTCGAGCTGCACCAACACATATTTGAAGCCTTTGTTTCCAAAGGAGTGGTGCATAACCCTGACCGTAGAGGCGATCGGATAATGCCCCTCCGCTCATGTACTCGTAGACCGGGATCGCCTCATTTCCCTCTTCGCAAATACCAATGAGAGAAGCGAGATGCGGGTGGCGCAACTGACAAAGAAAACGTACCTCATTTTGCATTTCTCTCAATAGATATGATCCGCTTTCGCTTTGCCAGCGCTTGAGCACAACTATGGTTCCATCATTCGTAGTCCCTTTGTAAGCAGTCCCGTAATCACCTCTACCAATAATTGAGTCTTCGTTGAAGTTGTCGGTGGCGGCTTTGATCTGTGCTAGTGAAAAGTGACGGCATAAGCCCTCCGGCAGTTGTGAGCGTTGATATAGTTGAGAGTATTTTTTCTTTGAAACAGAGAAGCATGGAAGAGAACACAAAGGATTCTTCATGGTGGCAACTAAAATATTAAGGATTCAACAATAAAGAAACACTATTTTGCGAGAAAGAAGAAAAAAGTATGAAATTTTATCCATTTCAACCGTATGAATGTGGTTGCTTGGATTAGTTGGGTTAGAAATACAAGAAGGTTTTGGACATTTTCTAATCCTACCCCATAAATTTAGGTTGAAGAAGAAATTTACAATAGAGGAATATCAAATTCAAACCTTTAATTTCCTGGCTGCTTCATCGGAAGATGTCAAGAAAATATCCGACTTTTATTTATTTATTTGTAGTTTTAACTCAGGCAAATAGCATTAAAAGAGAACGTGACACATTACTTAAATATCATGTCAGCATAAAGGGCTTAACTTTGGATGAGGGTAAATTTATTTTTAAATTTTGAATATATGTGAAAGTACGAACTAAATCGAACACATGATAAACTTTGGAATTCAAACTGTAAAGTCTAAGAAACTTAAGAAATTAGTGATGTAATTTCATCATTTTTACGAAATGATAAGGGCGTGTTTGTTTTTGTTGTAAATTTATTTCTATTTGCCATGTTTGTTTCATAATTTTACTTCAATGGTAAGGGCATCAAGGACAAAACTTAGATGCATTTCAATATGGTGCATCACCAGCAAAAAAGTATTGTCATTTCATCAAGTGCATTACTTTATTTGTCATGAAGGAGATTCATATAGCTTTGCTGACAAACTCAGATTCCATTGTGCTACAATTTTGTTACAAAATGTCTTTTCCGACTCATCGAAAAACTTCGAAAACGTCCCCTTGCTAGAATTTTTTCACGAAGGGGATGCATATAGCTTCGCTGACAAACTCGGATACCATCATTCAAGAATTTGTTAAAAAGTCACAAATAAGGAAAGAATTGCAGCAATGAATGTCAAGTTGGTGAAGAAAAGGTGTTGATGTGCAGAGTTTGGTAGAAACGGGTATGTATCAGGTGGAGGTAGCATGCATTCATCACCATTGAAATAGACTTTCCTGGGAAATGCCCAACCCTGCTTGAAAGTGAAGGTATCCTTGTCCTTCCTAAGAAGCACCTCTGATTGTACATTTCCAAATGGCCCTGCTTCCATCAATAGGTCATTGTAGTACTTCATGCCATAGAACATCCCTGTGTCATCTGCACATACACAAATGGCTTTGATCAAGTATCTGATTAGAATCCGATTGCAATGAGAAATGCGAGTTGTCAGTTACTTATTGATTCGTAGGGAACCAGAGGCTTGTAATCGAAACTGAAAACTTGTGTGACATTCTTAAGATTAGGGTGCTGGACAACGAGGCTCCAAAGTGTGTAATTCATCCTGTAGTTGAAATTGGTGACCGAGACCTTAACTCGCCAGTAGTCCTTGTAGTTGAGCTTGACATGCCAGTGTACCCGAACCGGGCACATGTGGTGCGTGCATTGAAGCAGTGGAGCATTGTCTTTCCTTGAGTGTTCAATCCTACCATTTTAAGAATCTTTGAATCACTCCTGCATCATCTCATTCATTGTAAGATTTTTATGTTCATATAAGTAAAACAAGTTTAAGCACCTGAACCGAGTGGAATGGCAGCTTACTTGACACAATTGTTCTTGTTCTGGCATCCACAAGCACAAGATGGGCAAGGAGTGATGGTTTCATTGTAAAAAGACGAGAAAGAAACGCAACAATTCGGGTTTTTCCGAGCTAGAAACTGCGAGTAAGTGCAGGTCACATTCCATGTCACTGCAAAACAGGATATTGAAACAGATCAATCTAATTGCAAAAACCTTCCATAAACTAAGGTGCAATCAAGATCATGTGAGACAAAGAGACTTACTGAGGGCCTGAGATTTTCGGCGGCGATCCGCGGTGAGAAAAGTCGTCGAAGGCACGACCTTTGCAGGACCGCAGGTGTAACCGGGTCCTGGACCAAGTAAAGTGAAGTTCTTCGGAAGTTTGACAGTCTTGTTCGAAAGTACCGGCTAATCCTACACTCACTTGGAAAGCCGAGACGGCAGCTTGAGGATCTCGACCCCATGCTGCAAGCACTCCACCTTTGCAGCAATTGGTGAATTGCTGATTGTAGGGAACACCGGGGAGCAAGTCGACAACCGTGGGCGTTTTCTTACAGCAGTGAGGTATATTTCCTTTGAACTTCGAGCAATCACCTTGCTCAGTAGTTTGAGCCCCTACCATTGACCATATTACTTCCTTTTTAGCCCATGTCCACCCCAAAGTCCAACCAGGACTCATTATGTGCCGATACATTTGGAAATTGTTCATTGTTACCACTGCCTGGAACATGCAATTGGCACCACAAGCTCAGATACATATGTATATAGCCGTCATCACTGCAATTTACATGATTCTCAATAACAACTGAAATATTTAGTACTTACAACATAGCCATCAGCCGTCCAAGACACAATATCCCATTTGATTGTTACATTTCCATTTGGATCCAAAGGATCATATGCAGCTGCAGCAACAAAGGAAAGAAACAAAACTATGATGAAAAATTTCATCTCGATCGACTTGTAGCAGTGGCAGGCGTTAGGCTTCCAACGATTTCTGAATGCAAACTACCGCTCTTTATGAATTTTCTTCGACACCGAAATCCAAACTGCAATGGCAAACTATCATTAGTTAGAAGAAAAGTTGGTGGTGCTGTTTGGGTACTAAGAAAGATAAAAAGTTTTCAAATTTCCAATATTGGAAGAGTTTGGAAGATGGCTTACCAACTGGTTGTTAGGTACTTGTATTGTGTGTTATAGTTATATATAAATAAACATATATCTTAGTTTCTGGATTTTTCGCTTTCCATAACTTGAAGCAACTGCTAGGGTTGAGACAAAGCAGGAGGCTTAAGAGTTGTCTGAACACATCTCAACGGTCTCCGTTGAGGATGACTTTGACTGGTTTTTAACCACACAAGACATTTCCAGATGTCTGGTTTTCTTCTTCATTTTGGAATCTGTTAACATGTAAAATTATTCACATGTATAGCGCATTTGAGTTTGGATTGGTCTGTTCTGTGTGCACACAAATTTTTTTTCTCCAAGAAGAAATTATACCAACATGGTTTTCTGAAGGCCATTGCTGCAACTAGAAAATCTCAATACATATGTAATGTTTAAAAATAAGGTTTATATATCAAATAGCCCCTCTAATTTTACTAAAATAATAAAGTGAATCTTAATTTGAATTATGGATTAATAATTCTTTATTTGAAAAATCGAGATCAATTTTTTGTTAGTTTTTTTAAACATTTAAGGTGAATTTCACCGCAAGTTTTCAAATAAAAATTCATTTGATCCATAATTCAAACCAAAGCTCATTTTATTTTTAACACAATTGGAGGGGTCTTTGACATATGAGATGACACGTTTTTTTTTTTTTTATGATATTTTTTTTGTCTTTTGGTATATTTTTAACCATTGATTGTTGTTTTTGTTTTTGTTCTTGTGGTTGGATTTGACATCGTCACGACTGATCAAGATGACGTTTATTTGTTATTATGTTGATCTTCTTTGTTTTGAACCTATATTAGATTTGGATACACTTTTTGTGCTTATGCATAATTTTCTCACATTGCTCGACTCAGTTTTGGGATTTACGAATGATTTTTTAGTAGCTTGATCTCATTTTGTGATTCGTTTGTCGATACGATCAAATATATTTATATTTATCTTTTGTTTAAGTTTTTTTTATTATATTTTTAATATTTACTTTGTATGATCCTCGTGTGATCTTACATGACTAATTTTTATGTCAATGATTATAAAAAATATTCTAATTATATATTTAGTTGACACTTTGCTGAGTTAATCGATTGACGGAATAGGCCTAGAAGGGTGAATTGGCAATAAAATTTTGGTGGAAGCTTTTGCAGAAAATTGAAAATATTTGCACAACGATTTAGAGTGGTTTGAATTTCTCAACCAAAGTCTACGTCCACTACCTTAGCTATCCACAATAAGGATTTTGCAACAAATTTTCTAATTTGTTCTTTGTTTTCAGGACAAAGAGTAACATTACAACTCCCTCAAGAATTATACCCCAAATTCTTGAGCACACTCTTTTTCAAAGAGAAATACACAAATTTGCAAACTTACAAGGAAAACCTCACAAGGTAGATTGTTTGCACAATTCTAGAACAAAGAAAGAACACTCAAAATGAATACAATTGAGTACAAGTTGTGTTCTTGAAAGGAAAATGAATATTGAATGAAAAATAGGCTTGAAGTGCTCAAACAATGAGATTGATGCTTTCTCTTTGATTCTCTCTCAATTCTTGTTGATTGTTGTTTCTTGTTGTTGATCAATGACTTCTAAGTTTGTTTAAATACTCCTTGGATCATTTCAAAACGTTGGGGATCATTAGTGGAGTTAATAGAGCCGTTAGTGTGTGAAAACAATTAATAAAATAACTTGGAGCGTTGGGGGTATCGGTACCCCTACATAGGGTATCGGTTCCATGTTGTGTAAAATTCAAATATTTCGACCGTTATGAGATAGGGGGTATCGATACCTCTTGGGGGATATCAGTACCCTCCGAGCAATCTGTTATTTCTCGAAGCCAAATCTTACATGGGGGTATCGGTACTCTCTGGGCAATTTGGTTTTTCAGTTTAAGATTTATTAAAAAATATTTTTGGCTCGATTAAGGCTCGAAATACTTTGTAAAATTGTTTAAAAGATTAAAACACATTTTTACACTTGAGTAAGGATTTGAAATAGTCACTTTGAAAAACTTGGAGTAATATTTTGATATTCGAATAGATTGATTGAATATATATTTGAAAATGATTAGAAAATCTTGAAATCCAATAACATTTAATTTGTTATATCAAAACATCAAAATATTTTCAACAATCTCCCCCTTTTTGATATAACAAAACATTTTAGTAATTTTAAGATTTTCTAATTGAAAATCATTTTTGAAATCAAATTTTGAAATTACTCCCCCTTATTATAACACTTCTCCCCCTTTTTGTTAAATCAAAAAGACTCTATAAAACGTTTATTAAACAAGAATTTTTGAAATTTAAACCAATTGATAGATTAATAAAACGTAAGCTGCTAAGATCACAATCGAGAGAAATGTCAGCCATTAGTTTCAAAATTCAATATTCATAAACGAATGTGAAATGACAAAATTGGTCATATATCTAAAATGATGTAAATGATGCATAACCTTAAATAAAACCAAATAAATATAAGCATTAAAAGATAAACATTCAACATCCATAGCAAATTCAAACAACCAATCCAAACACATCAAAATGGTTATCAATTCAAAGTTCTAAATCTAAAGCAAAAACCGAAATGAGGCAAGGTCTACTCCATTAGAGGATTGGGAGGAGATAGATGTGTCCATTATTGGCCACATCTCATGTAAGTGCATTGAGTCTATCGTCTATAACATTGAATCGATTATCTATTGCTTCATGATTAGCTCGAATCTCTTGTTGATTCTCCAATTGTTGAGTCCACATAGCAGATAAATGGGACTCCATGGATGTAAACCGTGAATCCATTGATGCATACAGAAGTCGAATGTCTCCATAAAAGATAAAAAAAATGAAGGCATTTGATCCTCTTATTGTGCTTGTTCCTCGTGTTGCTCCGGCTCATCGTCGGGAACTTCATCAATGTCTTGCATAAGCTGTTGAAGCTCAGGATCATCGTCCGCTCCCGGTGCCTGTGGAGCTCTTGAAGAACTAGCTCCCGGAGTTTGTTCAGTAGGTCGATAAACCCACTGGCCAGTTTCCTTATCATGTTTTTATCCCACTTTCTTTAAGGAAGTGAAATTGATTTGGTTTTGGAGAGGGATTGGAATATCAAGATTGACCCTAAGACCGAGTTTGATAAACAAGTTACTAAGGAGACAACCATAAACCAAGATTTCTATATTCTTGGAAGGAACAATGTTTATGGTATCTACTAACTCACTAAAGATGATCTGTGACAGATTAATCTTCTTATTATATGAATACAATGTATCCACCATATATATATTTTCCTAAGGGAGAAGTACCTACCTCCGGATGATCGAAACCACTAAGAGATCAACAAATGTAAGATTCGATCGTGATGAGATAGTAAGGTACTAACGCTATCCTTAGACTTATAGGGTGATGCTACAATCTCATTTTCATTATATAAACCTAAGTTATCTAGTCCGAAATGAGTAGTGAATGTGTCAGAGTCAACAAAAATGAACTGTCCTAAAAGATAGGAGCGAATACCTATGGTTTCAGATCGACATTCGTTTTGGACACATACCGCATTAGAATAGAAGATGCAGACTAATTGTTGATAAACAATATGGTTAAGTTTAAGGAGATTATCAAACTTCCAGGATTTGAGAGTAGGAAGATATTGAAAATTCATATCTTCCATAGTTTGGATCGAAGGGATACGCTCTTCCCGGATTTTGTATGACTCAAAACAAGTATGATACCTATGGTATAGATCTTGTCTACGACCAAGTGCGTTAAAACAAGAGTTCAGAATAGTCATATTTGGATCATTTGGATTTGGATTTGGATGAGAAATAGGAGGTTGGTTTTGACTTGAGCGACTAGACGATGTCCTATGTCATTTAGGATTAGACATGTTTTAAGAATTAGAATGGAATAGGTAACCTGCAAATTTCAAACACATGTATGTAATTCAATCAATCTCAAAACTCATATGAGTCCTCAATATTCATGGTTCTCTAAACCGAATCCTAATGGGTAAAGTTTTGAAAAACTATTTGGAAAACAATGTTTGAATGTCATAATACGTATAGTTTTCATGTAAATAACATAATTGAATCAAAAACATTAATTAAGAACAATAAATTTCGATTTAAAAAAATCAAAAATTTTGAAAAATCTTGAAAAATCTTGTGTTTTTGATGAAATTAGTTTTAGAATATAGTTTAAAAACATCATATAGTCAAAGCCCGATAATTTGTTCATCCTAGAACTAATTAAAACTAGTCTTAAGTTCAAAAATAATAAAACATAGGTATTTGAAATAATACCTTGAAAATTCGGATTTAAGAGAGAATGTGATGTTTTGCACGATTTAATGATACTAGCTGGTTTAGGAGATGAAAAATGATGTAATTCCGACTTGTATTTGATGCTTTTGTTAGAGAGAAAGAGAAGAGGAACGGCGTGTAAGAGAGAAGAGAGGGTTTTGAGAGAAAGGGTTCTTCTGGCGTTTAATAACCAGAACCCATGGAGGGTATCGGTACCCTAGGTGAGGTTATCGATACCCATTCAAAGGGGGTATCGATACCTCCTACGCCAAAATGTCCAAAAATATATTTTTAAACACTTATAAAGCTAAATTGATCAGCTCTAGTGGTATTGGCAACTCATATTACAAAAATTAACAATGTTCAATCAATGTAAATCTATCTTTAAACATTATTTGAACATATAATTAATTGTCACTAAGAATCATAAACTCCCCCTAACTAATAGCAAAGAATGCAATCAAAAGTGTTATTTTTATAAGCATTTTCCAAAATGATTAAAAGTTCTAAACTTATTTTAAACACTAAGTCAAGGTAGGTTGGTCAAACCTAATTCTCTCCTAAGTGTCCAAAATCTTTCTTTATCTAAAGGTTTTGTAAATATATCCGCTAATTGGTGCAAAGTATCAACATATTCTAGAACTA